GCATCTATTTAAGTCCGTTTTCGAAATTACGGAACGACAGACAGACAAACGGACGGCAGTAAGAAATTATAGGTCTATATTTTTTAAATTCTTAAATTAACTTTACTGTTAATTGTTTTAATAATGTTAGTAATATAGTAATTTTCCTAATTCAAACTTTATTTACTTTTTCACAAATGCAATACCTATTTGGTTTCCTTCCCAGTTGACTGGTACCACTTGTAAGTCTAGAAAATACATTATCGTCTCGATTTCTTCTACTAACAGGAGGAGAATTGGGTGGAGTTAATTCTGTCGAAGATTCCCTATTAATGTATTCATTATTGTTAAGATATATTCGCATGACATTCATATATTAACTATAGATTTTTTTAAACTTAATAAAACATTATTTAAAAAAAATTAAAAAATAGCATTTTCTCTAGAATAATTCAAAAATTACTTAAATTACTCAATATTTTTTTGGAAAGTGCTGGCTTTTTGTGTCTTTAAATAAATTAGATTTATATAGTTTATATTGCAGTTTGAATAATATTCATTAATTTGATATCTTGACTAGTTTTTTTTGTAATTACTGTTGATTATTGAACAATTATTTTAAATCATCAAACTCGTATAAAAATTATTACTTAATATATAGTACTAATTAATAGATTCGAGTACAATTAACAGGATATATAAACAGGAATATGACTAATATTAATAACAATAAAAAATAAAATCATTACTTAATGGCAAATTAATGAATTTTATTCAAAATTTGATTATAGTAGTAATATTAAAAGTTTATTGAAAATTAGTTTGTAGAAATAAAGTTTAATAATAATAATCTTACATGGAATTCTGTCTGGAGATAGAAGGAGGAGTAAAAAAACCAGTATGTTTACGAAGTAAAGAAGGAGACGTGTCCTGACCAAATACTTTTTCTCTTGCTTTTCGTCTCAGTGAAGGAGAAGTCTCAAGTTTAGATTTTGTAGACAGTTCTCTATAGTTGTTGAATATGATTAACAGTCATCATAAAGAGTGAAAGAAAGAAAAAGAATAGCAAAGAAGAAATTTTGGTTAAATGGATATATTATGGCAATTTATTTGAAGAAATTTTAAATAAGGAGTTGTTACTGTGAATGACCAATATCTGGCGAATGTCAGCATTCACACAGTCGTTTCGTGTATGTACGAAATATTTGCTAAATATCATTATTTCTCACTGACACCGGCAAATGTCGACATTCGGCATACAGTGATGGTGAATGTTGAATAAAAATATTTTTATTACATTAAGACAAAATTGCAACTTTTTAATATGTCAAAATAAGAGAAAGTTTAAGTAACAGCACATGTAAA